GGCAGTGTCTGTGGAGCAAAGGTGTCCCCCGTAAATTCTTGACCCTCATTAAGGCGCTGTACGCCAACTCCCGCGGCCGTGTAAAAGTCTACGGGAAGCTTTCTCCTGAGTTCACCACATCCAGTGGTGTCCGACAGGGCTGTCCTCTTTCACCTTTCCTCTTCAACTTCGTCATTGACACGATCATGGAAGATGCACTTCCAGCCTCTAATGCCTGTGGGGTCGAAGTGCTCCCTGGGCCTCCGCTCACAGACATCGAGTACGCAGACGACATAGCTTTTCTAAGATCTGATCCCCTGGCAATGCAAACAAATAAAATAAATAAATAATCTAAATTATTCTGCCCCGCGGTTCGGCATGCGATTCATACCTGCAAAGTGTAAAGTGCTACTGCAAGATTGGGCGGGCTCGAACCTCAACCTCATGCTTGCGGATGCACTGATTGAGGTAGTAGACAAATTTGTTTACCTGGGCAGCTGTATCAGTCCCGGTGTTCTCGCGAAAGATGATATTTCCATCTGGATTGGGAAGGCCAGAGCAGCTTTTGCAAACCTACGTCACCTGTGGCGTGGGCGTGACATCAGCTTCTCTGTCAATGGTCGAGTTTACAATGCTGCGGTGCGCTCCATATTACTATATGGATCAGAAACCTTGCCGCTGCGCTGACAGTGCTGGATTTATGCACCAATTTATCAGCTCCCGCCTGTAATGCGCAGCTACATCCCCCTCCCCCCAAATCATCGGTGAACGAAACTGCGGCAGCTACAACCCCTGTACGACGAGTACGCGGTTATTCCAGCTGACAATGATGGTGATGACACAGGGTATTTATTATTTTACGTGTGTTGTCAGTTCTTCGTGTATTAGGTGGACCCGATCAGATAAAATGCTATGGTCTCCATGACCATTAGTTAGGTATGACCTGACCCCAAATGCAGAGTTTTAAACGCATTAAACTGCATCGGTTTGGTTATCAGAAACTTTGGATATTCGCTTATATTTTTGGTAATTTAGGACTACTTATTTTAAATGTTGATGAAAGCTTGCCGATTTTCTTAAAAGTTTGTGCACTGTTGATAAGAAGTTTCCGCTTCAGAACTGTTTTCCACTTGGGACGTTTTTGGCAGTTTCAAAACGAAATGTGCCGGACCGTCTGCCTCTCATTTGCAGTTCAGTTTTATACTTTCATTAAGTTTCTCGTTTGAAAAAGGGCGCGAACAAATCTGTCCCGTGCATAATCAGTCGAAAATGCAAACGGGAGTCCTTGTCTGGGATTCATCGCTAGAAAGCAGTTGGCCTTCAAATTTGCATTTGCCCGATTCTATCTTGTCTCGTTTTGATGCTGGTTATTCATGAAATGACAGTGTCAAAACAAAATAAATATATTTAGCTTTCTTATGAATTCATCATACGGCAATCTAGCTCCGATAACAGTGTTGTGAAGGAACTGTTAACCCTTTGCAAACAACATAATTTAGGCTACTTCTAACCGGGGTGCATGTCGTCTGAACTTTCAGT